CTGCAGCTTGCCTGTTGAAGTTTTCTTTCCATTTCGTCTCCTAGATGCACCCGCTGGGCCTGTGTAATAACAATGATGAAGAGGACTTGTATGAATATGGCTGGGTAGGAGTGGTGAAGCTGGAACAGCCGGAACTGGACCCGAAACCATGCCTCACTGTCCTGGGCAAGGTAAGCACCAGACCTACTGAATCTCTGTGATTCTGGTTGAGGTTTTCCATTCTCCTGTTTTCCCAACTCCTTAGATTACTTGTTATAGACAACGGTGTTGGTACTGCGCTCCCTCCTTGCTGAAGTCATGAGAATTGGACTAAGATCTGGCTTAAAGCCAAGCAGTCCCCCCAGAATGTTTTCAAGCTCCAGCTCCGAAGGAGACGGACTAACTGCGAGCCTCTGAGTTGTCTCCACCTCTTGTCCGCTGTGTGGTCCTGGACAGGTTGCTTCCTGTCAAAGAGCCTCAGTTTCTTGGCTATAAAATGGGTCCACAATAAAGATCCATAATACTTTATCTTATACTCTTGGGGCCAGATGTTTTAGAATTCTAAGACTTAGGGGGTTTAGGAAGGTATTATGGTGCATATATTTCATATTAGGAAACTTCAGGGGATCTGGGGCAACACTCAATAATCAAATACATTCATATTTGTGTAGCAAACCATATGGATATTCACATTAAGTGGGATAACGAAAATCTAAATAGCCTCATGTTAGTTCAGGGCAGCTTTGCTTCCAAAGGAGTTCAGGTCCATTAAGTTTTTGCTGCCAAGTAAGTTATGGAAAAACTTTTTAGGTTTTAGAGCTTTTTTGGTTTCAGAATGGCAGACAGCAATTATGGTCCTGTATTAGAACTTACCTCATAGGGCGGTTAGGAGGTGAGATGAAATGCAAACACCTCATCTAAGAGTAAGCCCTCAAAAAACATTTGCTGCCATTGGCTGTTGTCACCCCATTTAGAAGGACTAAAAAAGACTTTAGCCAAGAAGGGCAGCATTACTTATGACTATAGAATGAGAAAGAGATAAATTTACTTTGGAAAGCCATCCATCAAGGATCTTAAAATATGGCAGGTAACAACCTGTTTTAAACTGGTTTCTTTTGCTAGAAGGAAAGGATCAGAGAAAGTTATTTGAATGTTGGTTAGAGCAAAAGTGTTATCTCCTAAAAACAGTGTTATTTTCTGGATTTTTTTTTTTTTTTTAATCTCAAAAGTTGTTCCATGTACTGTGGGGAGATAGTTGGGCTGAAAAAAACCTATCCTGATTCCTGACTCTCCTTTTTTTGTTTGCTTATTTGTTTTGTGAGAGAGAAACTGAGAAAAAGAAAAACACACTCAACAGGGCTTCACATGCAGTCCTTCACCCAAGCCTTTCCTAGCCAGCCCGGAACATGGGGACATACGAGGTTGACTCAGGAACTGAACCCTGGTCTTCCGTATGGCTTCCAGTGTTACAGAGCATTGCGCTACCTCAGTTGGGCCTGCTTCCTGACCTCTTAAGGCTCTCTTGGGAGATCCAGGCAAGTGAAGTGGTTTTGATGTGGGCTACCAGAGAGAGAAGCTTTTACAGACTACAAGAGGCCCCGTCAGTGTCTCCTGGAAGACCTTGGGCCAGGGATCCCTCACAGGTCTAATCTATGATTTTTGTGCCCTGCCTATCTACGGAATAGCTTTAGAGCCCTTGTCACATCCTCCTGCCCTTTCATGGAGTGGGGAAAAACCCACAAGAATTATTGCCTGTTTGGTTTAAGTGCAGTCAAGGTGTTTTAGGGGCTCCGACCGTGGTACTTTATCATTTAAATAGTTGGCCAGAGCTGCTTAATGATGGTAGGAGAGCAGTGACCCCCTCGAGAACATTTTATTGTTTTCCTAGGAGAAATGCCAACTATATCCAAAGGGTGGGAACAGTGCTTGCCTTGTAGGAAAATGTACTAATGTACTCTTTTGTCCTAAACTTAAACTGCTGCGATGCAGGCTCAGCTCCTAGGCTTCATTTGCCTTGTCCCCATCCAGTGGGGCTCCACCGTCGTGACTGTTGTGTCTATCAATGGGTTGGAACAGGGCTCACCGGGTCACCCGTTGTTCTCCACGGTTTAGTGGTAGGGGCACTTGAAGTCACTCGGGGAACCCGGTTATTTCCTCCTCCACCTGGAACCACCATGCAGCGGTTTTACTTGGAGAGTTTTTTATGGTTTGGCCTGCTGGCCTGTGAAGACAGGGAGTAAAAACCCTAGACATATATTGAATCATTAAGCACTCCTGGAGTTTATTCAATCGCCAAATATTTATTGAATGCTGAGGCCCAGGAGCTAAGCGTGTGGTTGGACCTGTTTGCAAGCAGCACCCCCCCCCCCCCCCCAAGTTTCTGTTTGGAAAGGCCATGAGGAGCGGTAAGGCAGCATTCAGCATTCGTTCTGTGGTTAGTTATTGCAGTTTGGCTTAGAGTTTACACCTGAAGAAAACCATTAGCAAAAACCTTGGGCCAGACAAAGGAAGACAGTTTTGCATTTGTTTAAAACCGGAGTGGGTGGGTGGGAGGGTGGGTGTCTGAGCAGCGATGAGTCAGGCCAGTCTCCCTCCTTGAAGTGCGATTGCTCTCAGCTCCAGTGTTGTTAACTCTGTGTGTATGTGTGTTTCTGAGTCCCTAAGGCTGTGGCAAAAGAAGAGTGTAGAGAGCAGAGTGATCCTTCTGAGCAGCCCAGTCTCCTGCAGGCAGCAGGATTTTGCATCCATTTCTTGGCTCTGTGGCTGTAGCAGTAAGAGGTGGGCAGTGGAAAGGCATGAAAGACCGTGGTTCGGGTCCCAGACCTGGCGTCTTGCTTTCTCACTTTCTATCTCTCTCTGTCTCTGCCCGGTGGGCACATGTGCCCTGTAACAAATTTAAAAACAATGATGATGATAAATTAAATAAATAATTCTTTAAAAAAAAAAAAAAAAGAGAAGGCCAAGAAGAAGCTGGAGCCCAGTCAGCGTGGGGGCAGAGGAGGGACTCCTCGTCAGTGTTCAGACTTGTTGAACTTGAAAACCATAGAAGGGAGAATGGGGGAGGGCTAGACACAGACCCCTCTCCCTCCTCCATCACCCCACCGCCCACAGAAAATGCCAGGGGGTGAAACCTTGAAACAAGAGAGGAATGTCCTAAATTAAAAAAACATAAAGGCCTCTCCAGGAGTTCAAATAAAGTTTCATTTTAAAAGCAAAAGACATAAACTCATCACCTTGGTTTATTACTGACTGCTTTTGAACTTCTCCAAAAAGAACACTATAAACTCAGGAGAGAAAAATGATTTACGATCCCCTTCTTCTAATCTTTTTGATTCTGTAGGAGGATCAACCAGGGAGGCAGACTTGGGGTGAAGGCGAGCCCCCACAGGCAAGCAGCAGGCCAGGGCGCCAGGCCAGATTCAGGGCAGATCTCTTCAACAGTTCTGGCCTCTTTTTTTAAATCACTTAATGCGAAGACACCGCCGTTTTGGGTTCCTCGCCCTTCTAGTATTTTGAGCTTCTGTATCAAACTTTTAAATCTGTCCTTGAGCTTCTAGTTTGGGGGGCATCTAGTTACAGCATTGCAAGATAGACCGTTACCTGTGACAGTTTAAGTCCTAGGAAATTAAAATAGAATCAAACTGGCATTTCTGAGCAGCTCTTACAGCTGCTGAAAGGAGGGGCCTGAAACTTTCTCCAAAGTGCAAGAGTCTGTGTTTACCCCGCAGGCATTTTAACCCTTCATTTCAGTAGTCAGTGTTTATTAAGCATCTTATAGGGCTGCTAAGAATTTTGGAGACTGCCTCTAATAGTTTCGGCTCTTGTGACCTGCTAACCTCATGCAGAGTCCTTTGGCAGGAAACCCATGAGTCGTGCTGGCGCTTCTAGCTGGCCTTGATTCCATAACTTGAGGCAAAATAACTCGACTCCCTTCCCACCGCCTCCAACCCATGCTGGAGCAATTCTCGGGGAGGTTATGAGAGACCGCGTAGCATGGTCAGCTGGCATGGGCTCGCCTCTCTCCACTGCTTAGGGGGACAGCGTGGTGGGGACGTTCATACAAAGACAGAGGCAGGGAATTTCATGTCATAGACCCCCAGGCTGGCTGAGTGACCTTGGAAAGGTTACTTCAGCTCTCGGTGCCTTACTCTGCTCCTTCAGGAATTGAGGCAGAGGCTGCCTTTGCTGTTGTAGTGGGGGTTCTGTGTGGTGTTTGAGGAACACTTTGCACAGAACGCTGCTGTGGCGAGTGCGTGGGAGCATGAGAGCAGCTGTCACCTGCTGGGTGCTTGCTGACTGCTAAGAACTTTGATTCATTGTTAGTTTTTTCCTTCCTTCCTTCCTTCTTTCCTTCCTTTCTTCCTCTCTCTCTCTCTCTCTCTTTCTTCCATGAGCAAGAGAGAAGCAGAGCCCCGAACAGGGTCTTGATACCATGAAAATCCTCCAGCTAGCCCCAGATCATGGGCACTTCTGTGCCTGGCATGCTCAGGTGTCCAAACTTGAACCCCAGGACCCTTCTTGTGTAGGGGTCTCTTGCACAGTATCACATTTACCGCTGTGCCTCTGTCCGGTGCTGCTGAGCACTCAGTATGCAGCATGTCCAACTCACTGTCAGGTGAACTGTGAGATCCTGTTCAGAGTCCCATCGTATGCTGAGAAGTTGTGTCCCAGAGAGGTTCTCTCCGTAACCCAACACTGCACAGCTCCCAGGAACTGAGATCTGACATAAGACAACCAGCCCTCTCATCTCTGTCGGCCTCATCTCCTTGCCTGCCGTCTTTGCCAGCTTTGGTAGATCAAAAAAAAACAAGCGCTTTTCAGTAGTCATAGGCTTGGTCAGGACTCCTGGTTCTGCCTTAGCAGGAACCCAGCTCACACTCCACTGATAGAAAGGGCATTTGCAGCTAGCCGTGGTGGCACAGAGGTGACACAATGCTCCAGGAGGCTGAGGTCACATGGCAGGGGCCCCGGGTTGTGTGCCAGGGTCTCCCTATACATGCAGGGCCTATGCAAGTGTGCCCATGATCCTGGCTGTCTTGGGGTGGATTATAGCGTGAAGACCCTATTGAGGGTATCAGGCTCTCACTGAGGAGAAATGCACGAACAAACTTTAAAAATGAAAAGAATGGGGAATTTGCTGAGGATCCTGGTTTGTGTCTCGAACCCACGTCAGGGTGCTGCTGCTCTTCCA